CTCTCTCTCTCTCTCTCTCTCTCTCTCTCTCTCTCTCTCTCTCTCTCCACAGTTCTCTCCAGCCGGGGACCTGATCTTCGAGGTGTACCTGGAAAAGAAAGAGCCGGAGAACTGCTGTTTAATCAAGGTATACGAGTATGGTGTGTCTGAGTTAATGTGTACTTTCCCGCAGGTCCTTTGGTGGTGAGGTGAAATAAGGAAGATGGAGTGTGGGATGAAGGTGGGGTAGACTGAGAGGTGCAGAGGTTGATGGAATAGGGCTGAGACATTCGTGGTTTAACCTGATGGGATTACCGCCCCGGAAATAAATCAAAAGTGAACTAATCAAAGAAAAGTCTGATTTAATTGTGTGAGTAATTGCATTTTACGAGGCACGCGGGCCGCTGTAGGGTGTCGGAGTCCTTTCTCAGGTCGCGCGGCAGAAATAGGGACGGGGTTAAAGAGGGAGCGCTCGGCAGCACGGTTTGACTTCAATCCTCCACTTTCTCTCTGTGGAGTTAAGTAGACACATTTGCTTTGTTCAGTCCTGTACAGGTACGCCTGATACCTTGACAAAGAAGCAAGGATGTAATCAGTGCACCACCGTGTACGTGAGTCAGAAATCTGTGCCGTTAGTGTTACATGTTAAATATCGAGTGGCTGTTCAAAGGGAGAGACGGTTTGAAGGCTGCGATATCGATCCAGGGAGCTTATGGTCTGAGCTTTTATATGCAGGAGGTGTTTACTTTGTTGGATTGTTTCTCCTTTTACTTGCTGTGCGTTTACCTGTTTGTTGTGTTTTTGCGGCAGGTCTCCCCCAGCATGCGGTCCACGGAGCTTGCAGAAACCGCGCTGAGCATGAGGAACGTCACCTTTGGTGCCGATGACTCCTGGACCACGTTTGAAGTCATTGAGAATGGAGAGTTAGGTACGCTGTGTTCAACAGTCCCCTCCCTCTCACCTCGTGATACTTTATTTAAATTACAAAGCATCCTGAAAACCTGTGCTGTGTGATTATCTCCAACATTCAAAGTCCTGGTAAAAATGTAAATAATAATGAAATGATAATGATAGAAATAATTCCTATCTCCTATTTTAATTTAATTTAATTGCAGCTGAAACATAATTACATTAAGTCTGGCTTTCATAGAGTAACAGTCATGCTGAAGCCTTAGACTTTGCACAGGTGCCTCCTCAATCTGCTTGAACCATGAAAACTCCCTCCTGCACTGTCACGCAGTTTAAAGAGACAGAAAAGCAGAGACAAAAACAAACTGCTTTCATTGTATGTCTGTTATCGTGTTTCAACAGCAGATTAACGCATGTCTCCGTGATGAAGTGAGCACACACATTTAATAGGCGACTACAAATGAAATATCACAGCACTTTTCTCCCTAATTAGCCTCAGTGAGTCATCTGATGTGAGACATTGTCAGACGGGATTTAATGTGATTGGAGAGACTGTGGCATATTTACTGGAGTGATCAAAGTTTAAGGCCGCTGTAACATGTTGACAGTCTTCTTATTTACTTTGTGAAATAGCACACACAGTCTATTATGCACATGCACATGCTTTGTCCTGATACAGTACAGGAGACAAACGTATTCATGTCATGGCAGTTACTTGCTGCTGAAAGGTAGCAGTACTTTTACTTGAGTACAGTTGTTGGTTACTCTGCCGATTAGTGATTTAAATGGCTACCTTTATCACGGCCATATACAAAGATCACCCTCGTGATAAGAGGATTATGTTCTCTCTCTAATGAACAAGTGTCTGCGAACACTGGAAGCCCACTGAGAAATTAGCCACGCATCGTCGGTTTTGATGATATGCACATTAATTAATCATCTTCACTGTCGTATGTCATGAATTACCTTCATCTTCCTTGCATGATTTGACCCGGGGAGCTGACCTCCCCCCCCGTGCCTTCGCGCGCCTGCATTTGATCATGGCACGGGGAAGCAAGCAAGCAAGGGGAAGTCAAAGTTGAGCTCTGTCGTGAAGATGCTTAGCTGGCGGTCCCCGTGCACTTTTCCCGCAAGTTCAATGAGAGTTTACGCTCTTATGTTTGTTTTTCTCCTCACAAAGTTACAGAGGACGCGCCGTCCTCTTCTAAAAAAAAAATAAATAAATAAAAATGAAGGTGCGTTGAATACCGAATGTATTTGCTGACGGTTCAGCATATTTTCCACGCCAAGACAATATGTCTGTGGACGAGTAAACAGTCGAGCTGCTTTGAAAGGTGTTAGCGTGACAGGCTTTGCTCATAAGACCACAAAGAAGGGTGGGAAAATGCGTTAATTAGCCATTTTGGAGGATAGCTACAGATAAACACTGTTATCGGGGACAATAGGCGGAAAAAGGGGGAGCTAATATTTGTTGGGAAATGAGGAACTAATTCCAATGGCCTGGGTCTGCAGAGATTGCAGAGAGAAGATAAGCCCACCATTATGAATAAGTTATGCCGTTGTGGCTCTTTTTACCTCCTTCGGTTATGAAAAATGGGTGTCTGGAGATGGAGGCATCAGAGCAGGGGTGGTGGTACACAAATTATCTCCCTTTTTTTTTGTGGCTGATAGCATGTACCCTGTTCACCAATTAGGAGGAGATAATAGGTCTATTTTGCACATGAGTGTGTTTTTATAATCAGGTCCCGATATGCTGGAGATAATTTAAACTGCTCTGTGATGAAAATTGGTAGAACAACAACATAATTCCGTTATTTAGTGAACTAGAAATTGTCATGGCTTCAATGATATGAGGCTGTGGTTTCATTCATTTATAATTCATGAGAAGACTGAATTCCTTTGTTCTTGGCAGTTGACTTTTTTTGACCATGACTCTTCATTCTCCTCCCTCTGATCTGTGGGCTTTTATTTTCCAACAGAGCGGCCGTTGCACCACAATGAGAAGATTCTTGAACAGGTGCTGGAGTGGAGCACTCTGGACTGCCCTCGGTCGGCCTTTCTTGTTATAAAGAAGTTCACCGGGGCCAACAGAGTGTCCGATGGGAAAGGTACAGTATATCGTTTTACCTATTAATGCAAATGTTCATACAGGTCTTGTTTTTAATTGGTTTAGTCTGGACCTGTATATCTCAACTAACTTGTAGTTATGAAGATTTCAAGTAACTGAACATATGTTAATGAAACAAATATAAAATATTGACTCAACTGTAACACCTGAACAGTATTATAGAATGTAGATTTTGTAGCAAAAGAGCTGAGACGTGTTAATAGTTGGATAAAAGTAATGGATAAACAGTAAAAACAGTTATCTACATACAATAGATAAACCATTGACATAGTGAGCTAAAAGTGATGAATAAACAGTTACAGCACCAGTTGATAGACTTGTGTGTCCTTTGCTGAAAGTATATTTTCCTCTTTAATTAAGTTTAATTGTGTTTTACATCAGACGAAGGACAGTTGGTGAAAGGAGACTATCTGAAGTTCAGCGATGGATCCTCCAAACTGCTGTCGGGGCACAAATTCCAGGATAAATATGTCGTTCTACGCGCCGACAAGCTGCTGCTCTACAGAGATATCAAAGTACGAACACTTTCATTTCCAGCCTAATCTTCTGCCACATCAACTGTAAACACTTGGGGTTGTTTGTTTTTTTTTGCATGCAAACACAAAATTCCGGGCCAACACAGATTGCTTTGTGTCACGGGGGGGTATTGAAAAGGTTATCAGACTAAAATATGTTAGCATCTACGTAACTGCAACTAAATAGACCAAGCTACACCCAAACCGTCTCTGCTTCATCTCCCCGGCGACGTGTCCGTCTCAGGGTTCCACAATATTTGAATTAAGTAGGAAAATGAAACGTACTGATGGCAGCGGACTTTCCTCTCTATTTTGAAGAAGAGGAAGAATCCAGTGAGTGCTTCACAGAGGACCAGCAGGTCCCAGTTCTCCGGAGGCCTTTTTTTTTTTTTTTTTTTCTCAGCACATTTCTGCAGTTGAAACATGGGATTTGTAAAGGAGTGTGAAGAAGTGTAAATAATTGATGGAGGTGCAGTAATTCTGGCACAATGGCGGAGGGGAAATGGTGAGGGGTGGTGATGTGTGTGTGTGTGTGTGTGTGTGGGGGGGGGGGGGGTGCTTTCACTGCAAGCTTCTCTAAATATCAAGTTGCACAAGTGGCTAATTACTGTGTAAATGCTGAGGACATTAGAAGGCTTTCTGAAAATGAATTGATATTCTTTGGCCTCCACTATTATTGCCAGGTCTGTATTTAGCACAGACTAAGTTGCATGGAACGGGGAGCGGGTGGTGGGTTGCGGTGTGTAGGTGTCAAAGGCAAACTTTTGATTTAGTTCGCTTTGTTCTCCTCCACTTTGTTCTCTGTTGCTTGGAAGAAGAGGCGTGCTGGTAATGACTCAAATTGATTGTCGTGTTTTGATGCCGCGCGGGTAGTTTGTTGGCATTTTATTTCACTTTGGTCTGTTTAGTCGAGTGCAGCAAACCGAAAGAAACGAAGACACCAGCACACCCACCCAGATACCGATTTAGACACGAATTACATTTAAGAACAAGAAAGAGAGAAATGCACGTTTCCGCATGTTGCGTCATCGGGTTCGGTTTGGGCTCCGTTGCCGTCAGGTGTGCCTTTAATCATGTGGCGCTGATTAGCCAAGAATCACACAGCTGCCTCTACAGCAACCAGTACAAGAGTAAACAATAATAGGTAGCAAGCATCTGGATATGAATAAAGATAAATACATTTCCATTAGAAGAACCGAAACGTTTCAAGAGTACAACGGAGTAGATCTTTCCATAAGGCGGCATAAACATGACCAGAGGGTACCAAAAAACCAATAGCCTCGACAATTAATATGAATCAAGAAATATCATAGTGTACAAAGGTATTAATATATTAAAGATGCATGTCAAAGAAATGGTAGAAAATGTAGTAAATATGTTTATATTAGAAGAAGGTACTATACAAAACACAATACAAGTTAATACAATACAAAAGTAGGAGTGTAACCCATGTGGCTCCAAGGAGTTTATATATCCAATATGCTTCCCCTTCTTCAATAACTGATTCATGATATCGCCACCCATGGCGTTCAGAGTGACTTGCTCAATGCCTATGAATTAAAGGGGAGGCAGCAGCACCATGGGTTCTTTCCTTTTAGTGCCTCACAATAGAATAATCCATGTTTTTATTTCTAATTGGTCCTTTATGTTCAGCTATTCTCGGTTTAAGATTTCACTTAGTTTGACCTGTGAATATGGACACTTCAGCATAATGATGACATGTGTCATACAATTGATAACCTCTCTAATTGTATACTTTTACTATAATTTGGTTTGCGTTGGTATTCTGAGGAGAGAAGCAAAGCAAAGCAGTGCATGGGGTTTCTTCAGTTGTTTTAGCTGTTTTTAGTTATTTCTTCATTTTATTTTCCCCCCCTCACTGATTTATTCTTCCAAAAATGTTCAATTGCTGTTTTTGTTTTTCGCAGAGCACTAAAGCAGAGAAAGTAATCCAGCTCCGCTCTGTGAAATGTTACCTTGGCCTGAAGAGAAAGCTAAAACCTCCAACCAGGTAAACTGCACTCGCATTGCACGATACACCTCTAGTGTCTGTTCCTACATCTACCCGTAATCAGAGGAGTGCAGCATATGAATGACAAAGGCATTCAAATCTCTGGTAGATTCACTAAGACTAAGACTCGCATGTCCTAAAAGAAACCAGAAAGCATAATCATTTTTAGAAACTTCAAACGCACTCTCTTTTTATCACATAGAGGAAGGTTATAAAGAAGAAAGACGGTGGTGAATCAACATTAAGGCTGGCGACTTCATTTAAAAAGTCTCTGATTAGCTTGTTCTGTAATGTTACGCAATCCACTGAGGAAGACCATGGTATGTGGCTGAAAGCCATTGAAAAACCTCGTAAGTGGACAGTTCTTTTTTTCATATCGAGCTCCTGTATCCAAGGTCCGCATTCAAATGTCTTATTTTCAAAAGTAAAAAAAAACATGTTTGTTTGTGCTTTGATAAGATTGCTCCTGTAAATACATAAAAACAATCTAAAATGTAACGCGTGGTGATTGGCAGCTTCAGACAATCAGAGGATCGCATCTCAATAAATACAACAATATAAATCTGTCTCATTGCTGGCTTTTTTGGAAGCTCCTTTTTGAAAGTGCAGTTCATGAGCATTTATTCATTTGCTGCAATTTGATTTATTCCCTCAGTGAAATTGTTTTCATTGTCGTATAAATATCACGGAAATGTGGATGATGGCTCGTCTCTCCCTCTGCGAGCAGCCAATAAAACAACGACGCCACACATTTTTACACCTTGCTTTCCCCTGGACGATAAATCCCCAAACCCCTCTGCCACGGCGGTTAATCAACCATTACGAGCCACTTTTAATGCTCATTTGTATACATTTCCACTCCTTCCTCGCACGTCTTTTTGGTGCAGTAAATATCGAACCAAACTATTTCCCTGCGTTTTTTTGGCACATGGCGTGGCTGCATAACGATTGTGGTCAAACGTGACTCATTAAGAGCCAAAACGACTGCTGTGCGCTCTCAGCACAGTCACCCCTCTGTTATTAAGATGAACTAGTGGTTATTTAGCACTGCTACTGTCTCTGTCTGTGTGTAAACAATTTGTCCCCGAAGATATATCGCCCTTTTCTCTTCCCTCAAAGGTTGGCGTCACCAGGAGATACCCAAGCCGCTCCTGACCCCCCCCCCCAATCCTATTTTTCACTGTAATGAAATTGATTAAATGTAATTGCATTTTAACAAATACAAATCATTCCGCCGCGTGGAAAACATCGCCGCCGCTGTTTTATTTTAACGACCTTCTATTATTATAATTTACGACACATGCCAAAACCCTTCAGCGGCTTCGCGTTGGTCAAGCGCAGAGGAAAAGTTTTTGAGAAGCCAAACCCTCTAATTTCACATTACCCAATTCTAATTCCTCATAATTTTCCCCCCATGTCGGAATTTGGAGTCTGGGGAAGCGTGAAAAATGAGTCCGGCAAGCGATTGTCTGCATTACGCCGTCCTTCAGGGTAGGGAAAGTGGATAAGAGAGCAAGAGTGGGAGATGAAGAGAGAGGGAGAGAAGGACGGAGGGAGCGGATGATACTGCGTGGTATCATAGATATAGTGTTGAGTGGGCTTTGGGAGAAGTGTTACGGTGAATAAAGAAATAAAGACAGAGTGCTGAGGAGAATGCAGAGAGTCATGGTGAGAGGGTTTCGGAGAGAGGCAGCGCTCCAGTACCTCATTAGGCAGAGGTCTCTCTGTGAGCGGCCTCTACTGCAGGCTTTTTTCGGATCGGCTGCCTTAACTCACAGGAGTGGTGCTCCAGGCTTGCCAGCGCTCCATCTCTGCCCCCCTTCTTTCGCTTTGTTCTGCCTCCACTTTTTCCCGCTCCTGTTCAGCCACAGCTGCGAAAAAGGGTTTCAGGGAAAGGTTGTATTCTCCAGGCAGGTGATCTTTTTAACCGTACACTACCACTTAAACATACATAAACGTCTGTGTGTGTGTGTGTACACAGTCCAATTATCAATCAGTTCCCAGCATCACACAACGAATTCACATGTGAGCATTACATGTACATACCAGCGAACATTATGCATATCTAATACCTGTAAGAAATTGTAGTTTAAGGCGAATAGTGTGCGGCACACTTTGCATAAAAATGTGGGCTGGAACTCCACTGACTAATTCCATTGTGTAGCATCCTGCATTTGTAGTGAACTCTTTTGTTTCTTCTCTGGTGTTGAATTCCACATTCCTCTCACAGAAGCATGTTTCTATCCTCTTGTCTTCAAATGACAATATTCAGTTTGCAGACGCCAAATCTGAACCGTGTCCCTTTTTTTTTGTCGTTTAACAGCTGGGGCTTCACAGTCTACACTGATAAACAACAATGGTGAGTGCCGTGCAGAAGGTCTCTAATTCAATAATTGATGGGTTTGACTTTTACCCTTTCCACTTAAATTATCTCTAAAACAAAGAGGGGGTCAAGTGGCGGGGAGTCAAGAAGTTGAATTTAAAGCACTAAACGTCCAAGTGGATTAGCAGTGGGCCCGTCAGCGCTGTCAAATATATATTAATGATGATCACATGGTGAGATGCTGCTGTCTGGTCCGCTCACAGGAAGTGAAACAATGATTTATAGCTTCCTTGTAAACAATTATTTGCTGCCTTTTTAAATTGGCAATTATAATTTCTTTACAAATGCTAGCTAGTATCATAATTTAACATTTATGATGTCAGTATAAACGTATAAACTATTTTTTAAAGTTATTTAACTGAACCTTTCTGAACAGGATGGGGGCATCTGTGTTAGTGTTTAGCATGTGACACCAGTGTCTTTAAGGCTGCTGTTTAACGCGGCATGCTTTACAAACCTCAATAGCTGACGGTTATCATTTAAACCATCTTCCTCGATTGTTACCTACAGCACTAATCGCCAATACCCACGCAGAGTCATGCAACCATGAGAAACTGTGCTGTGACTCACCAAATCCAGTCACCTGGTTTCAAAGAAGTGTGAAAATAACGAGCTGGAAATGAGTGACTTGTGCAACTGGGCTTTCACTCCTCAGGCATTTCTGCTGCGAGACGAGGGAGGCGCAGGTCAGCTGGGTGGCCGACGTCGTCAGGATAACGGTAAGACGGCGTGCAACAGGGCTGTTGGAATAAGAGTGAGGAGTGCTCCCGTGCAGACGCTCAATGAAGCAGCAGAGCATGCGTCGACTCTGGCAGTGAAGGATTGTTTTTGCCTCCCCCCCGAACACTTTTTATTTTTTTTTTCCTGTTGCTGCAAACCGAAAATATCCGTGAATGTGACATGCACATTGCGGAGAGATCCTCCCCCCCCTTCCTCGTTTGGATGAAAAATACACTCGATTACGACCGGAATAAATCACATTTTACAATCCATATCCATATTCCCCCCCCCCCCCCAATCATCCATTTCCATTGTGCCGTTAGTCAGATGAGATGCATAAACAGGGAGAGAGAGCAGTAAAGTTTTCGAGGTCACTCAGCAATAACATAAATCACTTTATGTGGAAGAGCTGTGAGAATAAGGTCACGGCGACTGTAACAGTCACATTGTGGTACTTAGCCCCCAGATACAGCTAAGTGTTGTCGCTGTCAGTCGCTGACACAGCACATATGAGATAAATAATGCAAAGGCAAAGCAAACACGGGGAGAGCAGCTACCAGTGTGTCATATTTCTTGTGTTTTTCCTCTCTCATATTCCTCCCGAACATACTTGGTGAAGTAACCATCCTGTTCCCTCATTAGACTAAATATGTCTCTTCTGCTCATTTCCAAGTGAACGACTGTAACTTGAACATCACGCTCCTCCCGAACTGAAAGATCTCCGCCGCTCCGCATTGTACGCTCGGCACACAATCAATCGGTATTAGCCCTGAGCTCGGCTTCCTTTATGGGAACCCGCCTGCAGCACGGTGTTGTTTATCACGGGTGCTTACAGTAAAAAGCCTTTTAGTGCCTTAGTTTGGGCTGGCAAGTAAAAAGGGCAACGTTGTCGGGGAGAGATTGATCTAAAGGGGAAGCCAATTTTTTTTTTGTGTGTGTGTGTCTGTTGTTTCTAAGTGTTTCAAGGTGTTTATTTCACTGGGCTCAGTGACTCTTTGCAGAAGCTCTTAGCTTTACAACGACTAAAATCTATAGCAGACTGGAGCCGGCTAAAAATATTAGGATTCTCCTCCCAAATCCGCTAAATATCAGGATTGTCAGCTCCCATCACAGGGGCTTGTGGGAAGGACACGGGCAGAGAGAGAGAGAGAGAGAGAGAGAGAGAGAGAGAGAGAGAGAGAGAGAGAGAGCAGATGAGAAGGTAGACAGAGAGCACTTCAGCAGTCTTGATTTCCTTTCTCTTACCTGTTAGCGAACATTGTGCCCCAGACAGTTTCCATAGCAACTGCTCGATGAAGGACCTCGTTTCGAAGCAAGGTGGAGTGGTTTGTGGTGGTGGTGGTGAGGGTGAGGGTGCAAAGGTCCAAGGACGGGTCCTAGCAGTGATGAAATACACATTTCTTTTTATAAAGAGAGACAGTTCTATAGGTCTAGCGGTCAAAAGAAGAAGTTGTTCAGGAGAAAGTTTAGCCAGAGATCAAAACACAGTCACACAGGATTGTCTCCCTCATGTCTGAAGAAGCTTTAGGGGGTCCACTCAATATCTATACATTGTATACATTGATGCCAATGGGGTGGTTATTACCATACTTGTAAATTGTGCTGTTGGCATGCGTGTCTTCAGTACGGTTCTGACTTCTGTTCAAAGGCGGGTAACTCAAAAGAGGCGGCGTATCTCAAACCCTTCAAAGGCGGAGCGGTGACCGACGGCCAGAAGATCACACACAGCCACAACACCAGCAAACAGGTGAGCAATCAATGACAAGCTGAACAGTGCACACGCTGTTTGTGTATTAGGAATGTTAAAATCTGGATGAGACGAAGCAGCCTGTTCAATTGTAGACCTCTCTTCCCGTATAATTGCTTCCTTTTGCTTGCTGACAGTTGCATTCATGTTACATCGGGAGAAGCCGATTAACATGTTTTTAAGGCTTCAGCTCAAAGATTTTGAAAGAACATTTCATATATTCAAAACAACATGTATTTCCATATGTACATGTGAGTACAAGGAACTCTCCTGACATGACACATGTGGGTTTAGGGGGCTCCTGTAGTCTGTGGTTGACTTTCAATCTATTCCCATTCATGTTTATCGGTCACGTTTGCCCACAGCTGACAGACAACAGGATGTCTCTAGTCGATGGCAACCCAAGGTCCACCACTCTTCCCCACAGGACAAACATCACAGCCAACTTCGCCAATCACAAAGACTTGCTCAAGGCCCCAGAAGTCCTGCACAGAAGAACCTCTGTGGATGCCGGCCAGCCTCGACGCCTCGCGTCCCCGTCCTCGTCCAGACACTCGCAGCCCCTGGCTTTGCCTGTCCCCCCCCAGAGTGGCTGCAAGACCCTCGGCAGGAGACCTGCTCAGGGCGGGGAGAGCATGATGCCTCCTAATCTGCTGAACGAACTTAACACGGTGCTGAGCAAGACGAGTCGCAGCGCCAAGAGCAATGAATGACAGGAAGTCGGGAGAAAGAGAGGTACAGAGAATGGTGAGACAAACATTCCAGGGCTGAGTACAGATGAGACGGAGGAAAGAACACGCCATGCAGATGGAACCAAAGTAAGTTGCATTCATGACTGCTTCTGAACTTGGATATCGGGGGGGGGGGGATGCCGACACACAAGGGGAAGTGGAAAACAGGTGCAGAAGACATTGGAGGTCATGCAGACCTCAGCTGGACATGGCGCTGACCCAAGCACTACAAAGTGTGATTTATATGCCGCTCTTCTAAAACCCAGAGAATGCTACCGTACGTACGCCGGACTGTCAAAGCCCAGACGTTTCCAGAAATACTCCAAAGTGCTTGCTTCATGCGTTCACGTCTGCCGTTACTCTGAAAATGCTGTTTTGACTACTGAAAAAAACATTGTAATTATTTTAAACCTTATAAAGGTGAAGTTTATCTTTTTTACAAGCACTTTGGCTGCAGAAGCTATAGATAGCATTCCCTATGTTCAGAATTCTAAATAGCTAATAGGCATGGTATGCAACAGCTGTTCGTGGTGGGCAATCTCCAGTATTATTTGTAATTATATTTTTTTGTATTGCTACCTAGCAGTGTTTTTAAGCACCAATTTAAACTGTGCACCGGCTGCCACCAAATGTCATTTTAATGCGGCGTATAAATATCGGCTCCTAAACGTGCTGAAACATGCTACTTTACCTGACATGTTAGTGCATGTTTCACCTCAATGTTCAGTGTTTTTGTACAATGACAGAATAATTAACGCCGACCGTTGAGCTAACATCCCTCAGCGTCGGCTTGTTTTACATGTTTATTGGAGAAAATAAATGGGAAAAAACACCTCAAAATATTAACAAAATCATTGGAATAGCGTTTCTGGAAGATTTACAGAAGTTTAGATTTCTTGTTATTGTTAAGTTTGACACATTAAAATGCTCTGAGTTCCACAGAATTGTTTGTTTTTTTTACAACATTTAACATTACTTTTATTCAAATTGTCATTTAAACACAAGTACATACATGAAAGTTGACTTCTGCATTTGGAGCATCTTAGGGTTCGAGCGTCTCGCCCCAAGGACACTTCACCATGCAGACGGGAGGAGCTGGGGATCGAACCACCGACCCTGTCGGTAAAGGATGAGCCACTCTTCCTGCCCACCTGTTGAACTGATGAAACAATCACTTTAAGACTCCAGTCTGCAGAAACACCGTCGAATAGCCACAAATAATAACACCCGTCAAGTTGTGTCGTATTCTCAACCAGCAGCAGGCCTTGAGAGATGAGTTCACCTGAACACAAGTACAGTTCTGATCAGATTAGCATCTTAAAATATTAGATTTTTCCTTTGGTTTCTGTTCAGGTGTTCAGGTACTCAGTTGGCCGATCATGCTTTTATACACAGTATTTCTGATAGACTCTCACTCGTCCTGGTGATGAATTGAGGACAAATACTGTGCTCTGTACGTTTCTTTCTTTCATTGCCAAAAGCTCTGGCTCAGAATGTTTCCTGTGTTCCCACAGACGTGCAGATGGTGGGAACAATGGCGATGGTATAGGTGTGCGAGTGTGTATCAGAAAGACAGAGAGAGAGAGAGAGATACACACACAGGAAATTGCTTTTTTCGAGAAATTGCCCTTTTTTTGTACTTTGATTGCACAGCAATGAAACTACAAATACAGCCAGATCCATCAGATAATTACAGTTGGGTACAAAATAAAATACCGCATGAAGTAAAGCCATCAAGATAATGTGAGAATGAAAGCGTCAGTGTTCAAAGATAATTACCGTCATTGCTTTCAGGTTTATTATACATCGTGATTGGAATTTGTTTCCTGTTCACTTACAAAGAGCTCTTTATCTGTTTTATTTCTATTTTAATATTGCATCTGCTCTCTGAGGTTTGTATACTACGGTCGTTTGACCGTTTGTTACCGGGTAAATCTGCACAGTATCGATGGGGATTCTATTGTCCATTAGATGGATGTCTTTCTGTGCACTCTGTTGTGTTCTCTGGAAGCAACTTAAGCCCCGTTGTGGATTTAAACACGGGGAAAAAAAACCAATCTTCCATTTGACTTATTTATATATAACTAGAGCATCATTTTATTCATAGATTTCATTAAATTCTGCATTTTTCTCCAGTGAAATGTGAGAATAAACTCACCATTTGAAGTCGCACGCCTTTTGTTGAATAATGTATAGCTGCCGGAAAATGCACACGTAGGCAATTGTCACAGGTTCCTCCATGAAAAATTCATATTAACGTTTTATTTTCATTATGCCTCATCCACCAGCTGCTTGTCCTTTGTTTCATGTCGTTATATTCTAATCATGGAGCCGCCACATTTATGCATTCATGGTCTGAGCATTTCTTATGAGGGTTTTTGTTTGCTCTGTGCAAATATCTGTTTTCTTCCCCTCGTCCATATTAGTTCTAAGTTCATCGCACTGGTGGAAATGAATACGTTCCTGCTTAATTGGCCCTTCGGGAATCAATTTCATTCCACGCAGCCTTACTTCCGCGGGAAGCAGACGCACTGTAGGCCTACAACACCAATCCTTGGTTCCGATGTGTGACGGTACGCTCGTGCCTCAAATGTCACATTATAACTCACTTGAGTGGTGACGGTAGTAATTGCTTTAAAACTCTCTCCCATTCATGTCTCCTGTGTTTAAATGCACTGGCCCTACACCATCTCTACGTCCTCTGAGTTCCTCCTCTAACTGCCGTCTGTGTGTGTGTGTTTCCCTCTGTTGTCCTCTGTGTCAGTGTAACAGCGTTTCTGCCATCCCTGTGAGGCCCATAAGGTCACCATATGGTGTTAGAGAGGTCAGCGGAAAACTCTGCAACGGCATTGACCATATCACTCATAACAAACTTTGTACACAAGTACAATTTGTAGGTACTTTACCTGATTATTTTCATTGATGCTTTTATTCTCCTACTCCAGCACACAGAGGGAAATATTGTACCGTTTCCTCCACTACCCTAAATTAACAGGTAGAGTTAGAAGGTACTCACAACGCATTTTATTATTAATATTTAAACACTTCATCTTAGCCGGTAGTGGCGGAAGTGTGTTTTAAATGGTATGTTTTTGGCGAAAATTCATGTGTTTGGGAAGTACTGAGCACGAGGCTTGGGTATACTTACGCAGTTGTTAAACCTGGCCTCTGTTTACTTTAAATTCTCCGAGGAGCTACTCCGTTTTCGGAGTCTCCGCCCACGGTGGACGCAATCCAGAAAAACTGTTTTCATCAAGAATTCAACAAGACATGGTGAGTCGGCCTAAATAATACTCAGATGTTCATTTGACCAATCGAACCAGTGGTCTCCCACCTTTTCGGCTTGTGACCTCTCAAAAAACAGAATTAAATTAAAACTAATTATAAAAGCAAAGGTTAGAGAGAAGTCCAAAATGAATCAAATTAAAATTGTGCTTCTTGATACTTGTGATATTTGAAGTACATTTGACTTGAAACCAAATGTTTTATATATTGGTGTGGCCATTTCATTCATTAAAGAAGTAGCTGCCAGTACATTTTACCTCTATGAAGATTATAAATATGCTTTTTTGGGATCATTTGAATAATTATAGTCCTATTTATCACATACACTTCACATTTTGCATTTAGAAAGTCCAGTTCTACTCATGTATTTATTTCTTATCGATTTCATTTTGGTTCAATATGTAAATTAAGCAGCTGACTCTTAAAAACTTGCTTCGGTTGTGGAATCCATTGCAGCGAACACGATTTATATTTCTTCTATTAAAGGCGAGGTGGAAGCACATGTTTAACTATGTGAGAGCCAGTTTATTATACCAAAGTCACTGTGATGGACTAAATAACTCAAACTTTAAAGAGGCAGCTAAAACTGTGCAACATGTTTTTGAAAATGGTACACTAAAAAAATAAAGAGTGCAGGATATGGAGTTGGGGAGCTAAAACTTAAAATGTGAATTTACTTGTAAAAGTTTATTTGTTTTTATTGCGCACACAGCTACTTTAGCTCGCGGGAAGTGAAAATTCTCAAGGTCTCTACCACCACCAGTCATGCAGCGCATGCATGCAGATGTGTACAGTAGTAGAGTATCTGAGCTGAATGCAGTGCTCACACAGGCAGTGATGACAGCGGGGGGGAGAGAGAGAGAGAGATAGGGGAGGGGGATTAGAGAGAAAGGGAGCCAGTCGATATGCTCGAGAAAGAGAGAGAAATGACAAGTTATTTCAAAAGAACAGACATGAGCTCTCTGATTCTACGTGAGATGCCTCTCAATTAAACCCGGAGCCGGTGTTTTTAAAAAAAAAAAAAAAAAAAAAGACATGTTGGACTCTGATGCAGTTTGGAAATGTGGAGGTTATATTAAAGATCAGCCTTCGGCCTTGTGGAAGTGTCCACTGAGAATGCGGTCTGATCTCCCGCCGTCTTTGGCGTCGGCTCGCTTTGCCTCTGAATAATCGAGACATCAAGGGCAGAAATGAAGGGAGCAGATGAATGGCAGGTCTCAACATGGCCCTAATGCCACTTAAAGACATCTGTATTCTGGGCTGCCGAGAAGCTCGTCCTCGTGCCGCCTTCCTGAAACAAGTCCAGCAATTACAATATGTATCCTGTGCGGCCTTAGCCTTTTTTTTTTTTTCAGAGGTAGAGAGAAGAAGTTGCTGAGGTAATATTGACTTAAAACCCACCAGATGCCCGTAAGGATAATACGCAAAAATGAAGCCATCTTCTGTGTGCTGTATCCCAGACCACCGTAAATCAGAGAGGCCGTACTTTTAACTCTGACATACTGCAGCTGTAGAACATGCACGTCCAGCCATGGCTCTGGTGATTTACATTTCCAGAAAATGGTAAGCCTTATATTAATGAAGCCGTCCATTCTAGCAGCTATAAATAGCTCACTGCATGAAGTCGACCCACTGCCGGCTGCCTTTTTTTTTACGCTGATCCACACATTCTGCCCTCTAATCTCAATTCTATTAATGTCTCGGGTGATATTTACGACACATGGACCCTTTTAGCCTGACACGGCTGTAAAGTATATGTTCAAACCAGCCAAGCTTTATCTAATTAAAAGCCTCTGCAATTGCAATTCAACTGGGATTGAGTCTTTAAAGCCTCAATCAGTCCATTCCCCCCCCCCCCCCCACCCGGTCGAGGGAGGGAGCAAGTCACCACAGGGCTAATAAAGAAAGGAATGTTAAACATTCCAATTAAACATTGTGGAAGAATAAGGCTGTAGATCATTTTCATATTTTTTTACAGGATTGGTGTTATAGGAATGTTGCTAAATGGAGGTGGTATCTGAGGCATAGTCCCAATAGATTTGCATAATGACTGGACAGCAGCTCCCGATGTATCACCCTGAGCTAAATACACACACAAGAAGCTGGTAATGATTGGAAGTAACTTAACGTTTGTCGGACTCGTGGTGTCGTATTTTATTCCAAGCATTCAACATTGTTGACATAAGTTTCCGTCTACGTTACTCACAGCAATCAACAGTTCGGCCAGGTTCAGGTGTGGTAAGCTAGGTAGCGGCTAATCTAGCCTTGAGCCGCAAGCCTCAAGCAGAGATGAGGAGAGGGCGTCAGCGATCTGGTAAGCTCATTTCTTTTGAACTTAACACTTTCAAACGTAGTTTATTTTTCAGCCCTATCAGACGCTGACTCAAGTGACATCACTTGAGGAAAATGTATCGGGCATCCTGGAGACTTTGATGTATAAAATTTCTTTAACTTTTTGTGTTTTTTTTGACGCTGGTACAGGTTCCCGCTCTGCATCCTCGTCTCTGATTGGCTCGGTTGCTTTTTAAACCTGTGTAAACTGCTGCTCTGGAGGTAAACTAACCAAAGTCCAGGAAGATTAGCCTTATAATGTCATCAGTTACCCTGGCTTTGGCTTGAAGACGTCACATTTTGAACGAGTTATGAAGTGTTTGCTTGTAGTTTTAGCCTTTTGTTCGATAAGCAGGAATTTGTCCAATGATGGACACTGTCAAGTTGCATCATGGGGAATGTAGGATCCAGTGTTCTTTAAAGCTTGAGTCAGTATAGTGACTAGAAGTCACAACATCTCTGCTGCATTGCTTTGACCGTTTAAAGATAAATTTCTCTTCCCAACTTGGGTGTCCACGAATGAATCTCTGGAGTGAACCTTTTAAGGTGACAAAAAAAAATAATAATCTTAAAGTTTAATCTCTGCACATAGAAAAGCTGTCTCTCCACTGAGAACACTGCGCTGCAGTGGAGGAGAGTGATTCTAATATTGATACAACCACAGCTGGTGGATTCAAACAACCAGAGGCTGGCAAGCTGCATATGAGGGTCTCTGGGACTTGGTGAGGGTTCAGCACCTGTAGAAAGAGAGAGGGTTTGAAACAGCCAGCCAGAGAGAGAGAGAAAGAGGGAGCTATGAGCTGATCAGGGTGGACCTGCGAACCCTGCGGTCATTTCCATTTAGTAATGCGCTCCAGAGGTGGAATGAGAAGCGAGGCCAAGCCGACCTCTGCATACACACCGTCCAATGGGCTCCCTTATTTCACCAGCGAGGGAGCGGGTGCGGGAATGGGCTGTCGTAAGCAGAGGAAGAACAAGGTGGAAGGAAATGAGTGAGAAAAATGTGACTAATGGACACGGCAAGATTGCATACCTGAGCATTTCACATGGCAAGAAAGAAAGAAAGAGTGCATTAGCAAGAGAAGGATAATGCCTGACAATCTCCTGACCCCTTGTATCCAGAGTCCCTGTATTGGCTTTCTGTGTTGGACCTTGACCACCCTATTAAAGCAGGCTGCCAGCTCCCTGGGGTGACCAGCCAGCACACCACATAAGAGAGTCAGCAATTTGTTGTGCCCCCCAGCTCCTCAAACCGCACCATCCCAAGGACACAGATATAGATTGGACACCATTGATTCTAATTGGGGAGAGGAGCATAAATTGTTGCCTCATTTCGGAGTCCATTATTTATTTATCCCCATCTAATCTACAACGCCAGTCCATCCACAGTAACCTTCATGTTGAGATTGTTTGGTCTAAATTAAGTCTTCAACACTGGAGTGGCAAAGTGGAAGGGATTTTAAACATCTGCTTGTTAAAGATGCATAGAGTTTCTATAGAGTGGCAGAGTAGTCCTCCAAAGTTTAGGTGTCCTTGGCTGCTGTTTGGTATACTTAATATCTGACATACT